AATTTTTGTTAATTGGTAAAGCACCTTTTGAGCGTCTTCCAAGGCCTCGAAGACAGGGAGAAACCTAAAACAAACTCCCTCTTTTGCAGTCAGCATAGGTTTTGTTTTAATTTTGTGTTTGGTCAATACTGGGCGAAATAGGGAGTTTGTTTCAAGTGAAAAAACCTGACTTCAAAGGTACGATAATAACGAAGGGTATGTACAGTTATAAATTGCGTTGAAAGTTTAGCAGAAAAAAAGCTGCAGATCATTTAGGGACATTAGTTTGGGACGGGGAGGGTTGACACAGAAACATGGTGTTCTCAGTCTTCCTTGAATGTTTGTCGGCGAAAAGTTGCTCGCTGTCGGCTGAAGAATTAGCCGATTTCGGGCCGCAGATTCAACAGCATTATCTTCAGCAGGAGGCCTGGCAGCACGAACGCCATCAGAGTGAAAGAGAGATTCCACCGAGTCAGCACCCTAAATCCGTGAAAGTTGTCCTGAATGTAGAAAACTAGTGATAACTCTCTTAAACAAGTCTCTGCGCCGTTAAGAAGCACCCTCAAGGCAGCCCTGAGAAACACCCCCAGTATAGTGTTTAGAAGGATGTCCCAGTCATTCCATTCGGATGACATACATATGTGGACTACAATTTCGTTAGCCATGTTTGCTGTACTTGATGTCGGGCTTCCAAATTAGGAGAGCTTCTCAACATTTCCTTTAGATAAATGTTCACTAGCACTGTGGGGACAAAAGGCCGTGGAAAGTTAGGCAAATACACAATATTGGTTCAGCACATTATGCACGCTGAAGACTTACGAGGTTGGTATGCTGTATGTGACGACTGCCATCCTGCCGCCTTAAAGTTGTCTAACCGTCAACGCGAACCTTTGGGAACAGGCGTCGTGTGGCACTACATGGCAAGCTTAAACGACCCCCACTTTTAGCGACTGCTAACAAGCCTCTCAATTTGTAGATTTGAATTGTCGTTTAATCTGTCTGGCATCGTCGGCTGCTTCTCTATATACGAGCGTGAATATTTAAAGATTAAAGCCTTTCATAAAACACGTTTGGACACATGTACTACATATTGAGACGGACTTGCACGAATATCCCTTTACTACCACATATGGCTGCCAAAAGTCACCTCTTAACTCCCTCCACAATTAAGTGCATGCTATCGCTTACAAACGAGCATCCTGGCCTTTCGCGTACCTTCCTATTGCCGCGTAATGTTCGAACCTCTGTACAATTACCGGAATCTCGTGCAAGGTGGCTTTTCGTTCTCTTCCTGCGTACTAGGACGCCTCCGAAGACATCGAAGTTTTTAAAATAATGACGAGGATACGTCACCACTGTTCCATGGTATCTCCTAGCCTTTTACAGTAAGTGAAGTGTTAACAAAAATTCTGAAACGCCTTCGATTTGAAAGCACTACTTCGATCAGGCTGTAATACTAATTACTATGCAGCGTGGGCTTTTGCATAAGCTTCTTTGTGACCATCTGCGGAAAATACACTTGGAAAAAAATGACTACAGAAGTAGCATGAAATTTTGCAATGCTCTTCTATACCTCACTATATTCAACTATATTTGATAAAAAACAAAAAATGTATTCTACCTTATACTCTTTCATCTTTGAAAAAATTCATGATGAAAAAGTCGACTTTTGGTTTTTAAAATTCCCGTATACTTTAAAACCCGACCTGAAGTTGCACTTTCACTTGGGGTTTTCAGACTACATGCTGTATACTTTCCGTGTAAGAAAAATTTCTCTACACTGTTAGGAAAAGGTCATTTAGGTCATGAAAGTTTTTAATGAATGCAGACATTGTTGTATACTTTATAAGAAGCATTAATAAGTGGATAAGCAAGATGCTCTCTGAATGAACATTTCATGGTCTGAAAACTTCAAAATTACAAACATTTCCTAGACCTAAAATATCCTTTCCTCGAGTATAACATTAAAAGAATACCTTATTTACTAATAAGCGAGTACAAGGGAGAATATTTTGATCCGTATTTCCTACACAACTGCTCTTCTAAATTCTCTATTGGGAATTGTGCAAAAGTATATTATAATTTATAACGGCGTCGAAAACAAGTGAAAGGAGCATACGACTTAAGCAGTCTTTTTTATGCGTCTGAAAAAGCTCAATTAAAAGCTGGCATCCTGTCATAACTATATTAGACTTACGTCATCTTTGCAAATCGAAAACATTTCAAAATATCGGTTAATATTTCATAAGATAGGCTACCTACTATAGATGTCAAAAACGTTTCTCAGTTCTCGTATACCGTCTTCTGTGATTGAATGAATGCCTGGGGATGGTTTCGAGGCCTTTCTTGAAGCGTCTAGACGTTGTAGGTTAGATAAGCGGGCGTATGTATGTCGATTTTTCCGGAATGTTGGTTTAGTGCATTCAAACGTTACGACAGCTGGCACAGCCAGAAACCTGCAAAATCACATGCGTTCTATTGATGCCTCATGCAACGATTCACTGTGAACACTTTTTTAGACTTGATGGAAGTTTTTCAATTTCCACACATCTTCTGAACACATACCCCGCTTCTCTTTTCGTCCTACGTTGACGGTTGCTTTCAGTCAGCATGTCCGAACCGTCCACCCGTTCTCCTAAGAAAATTGGCGGACGCAAACCTCTCAGGCGTCCCGATATCCCTTCCACGACGACGTAAGTAATCACTTTTACTTCCCATGTAAGAAAATCAGACTGATCACAAAAGCTCGCTAGATTTACTTATTTTTTTGTAGGCCCGAGAAAAGGAGACACAGTGAGCAACGCTCACCCGAAGTCAGAATATGTCGTGAAAACGTGAAAGATGCCAGGGTTCTAAGGCCTGACCACCATTTATACGATAAAACTCCGCCCGAACAGAGTCACAAGTCACGAAAGCAGAAACGGATCCATGCCAGCCCATCATCGCACCAATTTAAACACCGGAAAGAGCAGCTTCAATCTGAAAAACAATTTTCTGCACAGATAGTCTCGAAAGAAGACCAGGAAACGATAAGTGAGAAAGTGAAAGAGCAGTCAAAAAAGCGAAAACGGGAGAAGAAGCATCGTCACAACTCCGTAGATTCAGGAGGGACTACCAGTAAACAGGAACGCAGTCTCGGTGCCAATGTTGACCACCGTTCTAGACGGCAGAAGAGTTCTTCCCACAGAGGCGAAAAGTATCGAACCCCGTCAAAAACACAAATGTCACCAAAAGACGAATTTGATGCTTGCTCGTCATCCGCACATTCAGAAGGTTCGACACGATTTTCTTCTCCGCGGGATTCTCCCTCTCCCAGGCGTCACTGTCAAGAGCGGCAAGGGGAAACAGAACGTACTCGATTTCCCACAAATGCGGGCGTCTACCACGCGGCATCACTTCGTGAGCCTAAGGAACGCGGGGAAAGATTGAAGCGACAGGAGGTCGTAATCGGCGTCAGCCCCCCCGCGGTTGAGGTCAGTCGAGAAAAGCCACCGAAATCCTCACGGATTACCGAAAGCAGAGATGAGAAGGCTCATCGCTTCAATGAAAACAAGATGAAGGAGAGGAGTCTTTTGGGAGCAGTGCAACGAACGCAGCCGCTGACAGAATCACCCTCAAGATCATTTCATTCAGGTACGTGCGAAGAAACTGGAAATGGCCGGGCTTCAGTAGATTCCTTGCGATCGCGACACCGTTTGCATCTCTCGACTGAGGAGCACTCCTCCCTGAGGCGAGCTGTAAAGTCCCCCAGAGTGCGGCGCAGATCAAAAGCCAGAGATGACTTGCTGTCCGAATCTTCGAGGGAAGGTGAGCCGCAGGTCAGAGACACAGATACACACTCGTCTGAATGCAAACGTCGTCGACGTGATGAGCAAGCACGTACCGGTACGCCATGTGGAGTCTCAGAGACTACCGAGAGTTCTCAGGCCTCCAAGGTAATTTTCCTATCGTCCTGACTAAGCTATTTTGATAAAAATAGAAATTTGTGTTTTGAGTCTTCATAGTTTTCGGATGTACAGTAGGCAGCTTATCTCTTAAAACGTTAGCTGAAATAAAGTCTCCGTTAGAAGGGGTTACCTAGAGTGCTTGCAATATTAATTATCATGCCGTTTAGTGCCAAGGTAATTCAGTCTTGCCAAACTGTTAGCTTTTGTATACACTTCCTTCCGTCTGCAGAAATTCCATTTGCAAAAATGGCCCCCTAAGCATTGCGAATTTTTGATTTCCAAATAAATCTCAACATATTTTGTAGAGAGCATGCTCAAGTGTCCTTGTAGTCGTTTTGTAGTCAGTTAAATCTCCAAATCTCCTTTTTTAAATAATTATGGACCATGTTCACAACGGCCATTGATAACAACACAGATTCGATACCATTTTAATAGATATTTTACGTCCTTACAAGTTAATATTTATAATTTATGTTGGACCAAAAGCTACCCTTCGAGTATAGAATCTTAAAAAGACGCAATTTAGTAACAAAATGAGCATAATAAAGGATACTTTTGCGCATGCCTTCAGGAAAATGTGTTTGAGCATTTAAAATCAGCCAAGTAAAAATCATTGAGAGCAAGATTAATACAGGCAACCGGAAATACGCGCAAGTAAAAGCCGGCCACCTGTCATGACTACAATATACTGAGGTTATGCTGCGGACCAGTGAAGACTATAGTCCCACCTAAGTAATTCTTTCCAATGGAGATCATGTGTGAAAATTTCACGAAGTACGTCATCTGATGGGGGTTTTCACTAACCAATTGAGGGTGGAAATATTACTTTCGGGGTATCAATTTACCGGAAATCCTGCACATTACCAAGTTACCGCCTAAAAACCATCTCGGGATACTTCTCTGGACTTGAGAACGCTAGCCTACTAATGCGAACGTTTCCTTGTTAGTATTATAAAGTAGCAAGGAATGTTTTCAGTATGTATCTGAACAACTCGCGAGCAGTCGACCAAAAGTGTCTGGATATACTATAAAGTCGTAAGCATCAATTTCGTGTTATTTTGTCTGAAGGAAGAGCAGCGTTCACCGTATGTTGTCTCTCTGTTTGACCACCACTAGCCCACTCGATCAAAATCCCTACTTTGGTATTATACGTTTTTCTCACTCACCGGTGTCTGATAGTTATTTACAATTAAATAGTTTTTATAGGAGGTGGAAACTAATTAAATGTCCGTTTATCCTGTCTTGCCTATCACACTCTGAAAAAAAAGAGTAGATGCGTTCATAGACCGGAGTGTATTTAAACTGACGCTTTGGAAACTGGCGTTGCCATCACCGGAGTACTGTGCCTCCTCGTAGGCTTTGATTTATTCCACCCGCATCGTGTTATAACCGTGTTCAACGCACTTATTTCAGCTGGTCTGTTGGCCCTTGGTTGATTTCGACCTCTTCACTGTCGACTATTGACGGGCTCGCGTGACTCGTGTCCCCTTTGCAGCTGCCCTGGTTGCCACTAAGTCAGCATGCTTGTCGGCTTCCACCTCTCTAGAGGGCGGATTGACAGGTCGTTGATTTTCTTGTGTGGTCCCATGCCGGTCACGTAGCATCCGATCAGTGCCCCCTTGTGTCTGAAGATTCTGGCTGTCGGCCGTGTGTCACTTTTATTCTAAATCCTGCTGGCCCTGTCTGAACTGACTTTAGCCTTCTACAAAGCGCCTGTTAGGCGGGGTTTAGATCTATAGGTCGGTCTAGTGTGACAGTTGAAGACCAACATTCCAGCCCCAGTGTGGCCAATCACCTTTACCTTCTCAAAAGCGAATTTTTGGTCTTGCTGTTGTACGTGGCTATAGACTAGAGACTGCTTACGGTTGATTGCAAGCTGGTATTTGTGCAATCCTCTACCGAGGCGTTTGCCCGTTTCACCGGCATACCATACATCACAGTCTTGACATGGTATGCTGTATACCACCGTCAACTGTTCCATCACTGGTAGCGGACCCTTGAACTTCATGATCTACTGTCTGAATAAACCCACTTCACTAGAAAAACGTTCATCAACTGTCTTGTTTAGAGGCCTCGCCTAGAGGCCAATAACGATTTATTATGAAATCAGAAACTTATATTCTTTACTATGCCTCCAGAAGTCGAAGTCAGTCCGCTCGCGGTCGACATCCGAGCATTCCACGGATCCCTGTAATAAGTTAGAGCCAGACACAAAGCTTGGTTTTCGGATGCCGACTCCAGAGCCATCATCCGATGTCCAATCTCATCACCAGTCGCCCTCTCCCAAAAAACGCATTTCAGCGACTGGGAGTTCTATAGCCACCTCTCTGCTCGGTCTCGTCGACATGCTAACTGTAGAAGAGACCTCCGACACGGAACTGGAGGCACTTCTTCCTCCCACTATTCTTTCTGGAGAACACGCCAAGCTCTGTATGCCATCGTCCTCCAAGCAGATTTTGCAGCAACAACAGTCCAAAGACGTTCTCGGTGTCAGCGGACTCTCGGCAGCA